GAAATTAATCAAAAGTATAAAAAGTATTCCAACCTTTTCCAAACTTGTTACGTTGGTACCCCTACGTACAAAGGTGATTAGCTACAATGCATATAACACTTATAACACATTTCTTTTGTTAAAAACAAGAGAGGGCGCAGCCCTTGGATTTTATAACCATATATAATCCCTTAAATAGTTCTGACCAGAGATGTACCCTCCACTAAAAGGATCTAAATTTAATTAACTGCAGCACCTGTGTTCGCTATTCCTCTTTGTCCCTGCAGACCTTTTTATGGTTCAAACCCTTGTAAAGGGGTACTCCAACCTTTATAAGCCTTACCTACATTGGGTTGTAATTTTACAATACTTAAAGCAACTTCAATACAAGGTTTTTTTCTTTTTTTTTTTTTTTTTTGTTTTTTTTTTCATTCGAAATAAAAGATTAACATCAAAGATTCAAAATATTATTTTTAGCATTATTTTTTACTTGACCGTAACTTGAAGTTGATGTTGCATTCAATTTGATGAGATCATTTTTGTTTTTCTTTGATTAATCTTGTATTCTTTGTTGGTATATAAGCGAAATCGTGGAATGAAAAAATTCGTGTCATCCATTAATAAAAAGTAGAGCTTACTATCATTTTATATAAAGAAATGCAAGGGCACCTAATTAGGATGAGGCCTGATGACTTAGGCACTGCAATGGACATGCAGGTGGATGTTGATAATCTATTTGCAAATTAGAAACTCTTCTGAGCATGGACAGAGTATTGTAGTGTTGGAGACACTACATCACCATGTCTCCTAGTCTCTTGTGTTAGGATAAGATGATAAAATAAAAACAGTTTCGCTAATATAGTAGCGAATTAAAATCTCCAAGGTAATTTTTTTTATATTTCTACATAATTTTATTAGTGTCTCAACAACATATACTAATAGTTAGAGGTTTTTAACACTTAATTATCCTACTTGTTGTGAGCACTTAATTAACTGTTTATGTTAGTGTGATAAATATTAATCTTTCCTAATGTGCTTTATTTTCCCATAGAGCTTCTATAACAGAGCATTGTATAATTATAATTATTAATATGACTATATTTTTTTTTTTAAAAAAAAAAGGAAGAAGAAGAAGAAGTACACCTGTTCATAAGTGTATAGGACGAAAGCTTAAAAAAAAAAAAAAAAAAAAAACCCAAAAACATGTTAAATTCAAACATATAAATTCATGAAGAAAACATACTACTTATTTGTCTTGCTACTTAAATCACAAACTGGGATGAAACTCAGAGCTTTTTATTTTATTTTATTTTATATTTGTGATTTAATCAGTCCATCCATTTTCTAAATTTAAACGGGATGCAATAGCTATGAGATCCAAAGTTTCTGTTGTCTAAAAAACATCATTATCCGTCCAGTTATTAGTGAACTCTTCCTCCATTGAAGAACTGAAAATCTTAATACCAAGGCTCTCCAAGTTCTGATCGGGGCAAAAACCCATGTCGAGATCTGGTACGAGAAATTCGCTGATATCCAAATCCATTAGAAAATCGATGCAGTTGTCCTGATCTATTATGGCCGAAGAAGATATGCTCTGGTGATCCGTTGTACTCATGTCTGATTTTGGGGTTAATCTCTCTAGCTGCAATGCTGCTGGGACAACGGCCTTGGTGCACCTTACTGCTTTTGTCCGGATTGCCTTGGTCGGTTCCACGGTGGCCTCTGCAGCCGCTGCCACCACCGCAGAATTTTTCATGCGCCCTTCTCTTGGTCCAGTCTTGTTATTAAGCTGATCACGGAGCCACAGTACACTCTTGCTCAGATTGGTGTTCCAGTGATTTTTTATTTCATTGTCTGTTCGCGCCGGTAATCTTCCAGCGATCAGGGACCACCTGCCACCATAAATTAATCATTAATTATAAAGTTATACTAAATATAAGTTGTCTGATATTTTATATAAAATTTCAACTTTTAAGTAATAATGCTTTCTCTAATTAATTAATACTAGAAATTGAAGCTTGAAAATCATTAGTGCAATAAAAATTATACAAATAAATTTTTTATTTTAAATTATATAATAAAAGATAATATTTTTATATATTTTATATTTTATATTTTATTTTATTTATATGACATACAAAATAAATATAAGATTTTTTTTTTATTTAAAATAATTACCTCTGTCATTTATTAGGGCCGACAACCATATCATTTTTTAGCCGTTTAGTTACTAGAGTAGAGGTGTAAATGGATTATTGGAGTTTGTTTGTACTGCCTTAATAGTAGTAACACATGTTTTGTTGAAATAAAAAGTTTCATTAATCAACTGTTCTTTGTTATTAATCGGGATCGTGGAGGCCGATAAAAGTTTAGCTATATTTTTTATTTGGAACAGCAAAAGGGGGAAATATTATTAAGTCTAGGTATCCACGTTAATTTTGGGCTAGTGATTGAAACTCTAAAATAGGATGAATTATTTTTTATGAGTTATATATTTTGTATATTTAAATCCCACAATTTTTTTTTTAATTTTCATCTATTATATATATATATATTAATTTCTCTTCGTTCAAAAAATTATTATTAAGTCTAGCTAAATTTTTAGAGTCAGGTTAAAAATTCCAAACTTTTGTGACGCTTTAATCAGTGCACATTTTTCATGCAAAGTTGCAAACAACTAATTATTGGACTAGCTATGTCATCATGACTTCATGAACCCCACACATAGAATAGAACAAGAAGAAAAAAACTAAACTCTTTATTTACATTTTAAATATTATTTTTTTATAATTAATATTTTTAATATTTTTTATTTTTGATTAATAATTTTTACAATTTAAAATCCATAAAAAATTCAAAAATTAATGAGCAAAACCTTTATTTATACCTTAACTTTATTAATAATTTAAAACCTTTGATGAATTTCAAATTATAAAGCATGTTAGCCAAAAATAAAAATTTTAGAAGATATTAATTACAAAAATATATATATTTGAGGTGCAAAAAGGAATTTGGCTAAAAAATTCCAAATTACCTATTCCCCAGCAGCTTATGTAGTCTAATAATGAGCTCTTCTTCATCTGCAGAAAAGTTTCCTCTCTTGATATCTGGCCGGAGATAATTCAGCCATCGAAGCCTGCAACTCTTTCCACATCTCTTCAACCCTACCGGGTGGAATTCACCAAAAATTTGCGTTATATATCTACACATATATAACATAGAGTATAAATTGTGCGGAGAAAATTGAAACATTTTAGTTGAAGAAGAAAAACAGAAAGTGAAGTACTACCATATTTTACAGGGTATGATTGGGAATTGTTACAAGAAGATAGAGGCTTCAGTTTGGGTGTCAATGTATTTGTTCTAATTGCTATATATAGGTTAAACTACCATTTGTACTTTAAATTTAGTAAAAATATATTTTGCCTTTCAAAAAAAAAAAAAAAAAAGGAAAGTGATGTACTACCAGCTCTTTGTGGAAGATCTCTCCATTTGCCTGCTCCATGGATCTTAATGTAGTTGGTGAGCATATCATCTTCTCTTGCAGACCATGCGCCTCTGTTCAGCCCTTCCTTCACACAACATGGCTTCCTTCCCATTTACTTTCGATCTTCTTCTTCTTTTCTCTCTCTTTTTGCTGCTGGGATTTTCAGGTCTAAAAGGCCGGACAGCTTTGCCATATATATATATATACACACATGCAAAAAGACTAGGGACTTTATACTGTATGGTTCTGATGAGTTCAGACCTTCTATATGATATAGAATAATGATGTACAGTTGTACCAATGGTTAAGGTGTATATGCTTACTTTCTTTATTAAAAGAGATGGGTTCAACCATGAGTTATATATGGCCTATTAGTAAAGTTGTCTGTAACTTTGTGTATTTAGACATAGATCTTCATTCAATGAAATTAGTGAGATTTTTAATTAATCTGTTTAGATTAGTTAGACTTTGAAAAGAGTGATTTGACCAATAAAAAATAATAAAAATATGCCAAAAATATAGATTTAAATCCCTCTATTAATATGTGCGTATAAACTATTTTAATAAATTATACCTTAAAGTAAAGTCTTACCTATTATTTACTTGGTGGACAGGAAGTCGTAGGTGCCCATAGAATTAGTTTGGCCAAAGATTCGAACACCCCTTACATATACAAAAGATGGGAATTTTGAAAGGTTATGAACTTTGAGATTTGAATTCGATTTGGCTCTTGAACTTCTAAAAATATCAAAATAGTCTCTAAACTTGATTTTCTAGCACCGAATTTAGTCTTTTTTTTGTTAGTTAAATGCTAACATTGATAACTTTCCATCAAGTAATTTCACTTTTCTTTTTTAATTTTGAATATAATGTAGAAATTTGAACTATATATTGATGTGACATTTTCTTGATGGAGAATGATAAAAATATAATAATTTCAAGTACAATATTAATTTGTATAATATAATATGTCATTTTGTTATCAATTTTTTTTTACTGAAAGGGCCACACATGAATAGGTATGCATGCAGTTTTTTAATATCAAATTATATTGTACAAAATATCAAACTTAAAATCATTGAAGTGTAGTATTATCATTTTTTTATTAAAAACTTTATTTTTAATTACAAAAAATGATGTAGCCTTTTTCCACCTTGGCCAGTCACCAACCTGAGAAATTTCAATCTTATATGGGGAAATCAAACATAAGTGTGACCCGTTGTATTTAGTTATAAGCGAAACCCCAAATTCATCCTAAATTACAGGATAGGGACAGATGTGTTTCAAAAAAATATAAGGAGTAATTGTCTTTTTAAATTATTGATTAAGAAAAATCATTTATTATTTAATGGGTAATATTATTACATATCAATTTTTCATTAAAAATAGATTTAAGCAGCAAACAAAAAATAAACATGTAATAACATTACATATTAAATAATGAATAATTTATTTTGAATTAATAATTTTTAAAAATAATTTATCTCTATTTTTTTAAAAGTAAATCTATTTCTACCTCTTTATTTGGGATAAATATGATATTTCAGCCTATCGTTATATGCCCAAAGAGTGGCATACACCTTTTTTTTTTTTTTT